AGTTTAAAGAGATTGAAGAGAATTTGTCCCGTGAGGGTAGAAAGGTTGCAAACACTGAACTTCAAAAGCAACGTCAAGTCGACCATCTTCAAGCTCAATTCAAGGCTCTTCAGACCAAACTGGTGGAGGCTGAAGCAGAGTTGGTAGGCATGATGGATATGAAGCAGACATTGACTTCAAAATAGGTGCAGCATCAACCCTTGCTTCAAGCGGAACTTGATCGAATGGAGCAGCTAGAAAAAGCTATCAATAACATGAGTGCCTATTCCGATGAGGAGCTACGTAGACATGCCTTGGCTGATGTTGAGGCAGAAAATCAAGAATCCATAGCTAAGCTTGCTGAAGAGATTCGTCAGATTGCTGGATCCATTTAGCTCCATATTTTTTTATATAAGTAGAACTTCGGATGTTTTTGTTCACTAGCTCTACTTTGCACCTCAACACATGGTCTAATGCCAAAGTTCATGAACTTCGTTGCTTTGTATTTGACATAACGAGGTTCTAGCCTCATTCAATTAAGCCTCAGTGTTTAAGCCTAATTAGCAGAATGACCTTCGTTGAATACGAGGTTCGAATTTGATTTCAATTGAGTCTTAATACTTGAGTAAAATTAAAGAAACGACCTTCGTCGAAGATGAAGTTCAGATCCAATTTCAATCAAGTCTCAACACTTGTGTATAATTTGAGGAATGACCTTCGTTAAAGATGAGGTTCAGATCCAATTTCAGAGGAATGACCTTTGTCGATGACGAGGTTCGGATCCAATTTTAATCAAGTCTCAACACTTGAGTATAATTAGAGGAACAACCTTCGTCGAAGATGAGGTTCGGATCCAATTTCAAAGGAACGACCTTCGTCGAAGATGAGGTTCGGATCCAATTTCAATCAAGTCTCAACACTTGAGTATAATTAGAGGAATGACCTTCATCGAAGACGAGGTTCGGATCCAATTTCAGAGGAACGACCTTTGTTGATGATGATGTTCGGATCCAATTTTAATCAAGTCTCAACACTTGAGTATAATTAGAGGAACGACCTTCATCGAAGATAAGATTCGGATCCAATTTCAGAGGAACGACCTTTGTCGATGATGAGGTTCGGATCCAATTTCAATCAAGTCTCAACACTTGTGTATAATTAGAGGAACGACCTTCGTCGAAGACGAGGTTCGGATCCAATTTCAATCAAGTCTCAACACTTGAGTCCAGTTAGAGGAATGACCTTCGTCGAAGATGAGGTTCGGATTCCAAATTCAATTAAGTCTCAACACTTGAGTTCAACTAGAGGAACGACCTTCGTCGAAGACGAGGTTCGGATTCCAAATTCAATCAAGTCTCAACACTTGAGTTCAATTAGAGGAACAACCTTCGTCGAAGATGAGGTTCGGATCTGAATTCAATCAAGTCTCAACACTTAAGTTCAATTAGAAACAACGACCCTCGTCATTTTTGACTTAGGAACGAGAATAAATTTTGTTGAACGACGTGGCAACTTTCGACAGTTCCCAGAATGTTGATCCACAAGAATCCGTCGTTTCATCTCGTCAGCGTTAAGTCTTGAGTACTTAATGCGTTGCTTCGAGCCACATTTTCTTTGGCGCTAATTACGAATGCAATTGATTGCGTCGCTTTGTTCTCAGCACCCTTTGGTGGTTCGGTGCTTAGGGATTCGTGTAACGAATCTCAGCCACTTGGTTAGTTTCTTCGCCTATAAATAGACCATCACTTTTCGAGAGGATTCATCTTCCTCTTCCGTGCCTTGTTTCTAAAATGATTTAGAGGGGATAACCCATTTTAAGGTTCCCACCTTCGCTTCCTATTAGATTCCAAGCTTCGATAATCGTCACTGGTGAGGTAGGCAAAGCTGATGACGCTGTCGCTTCAGGTAACTCTTCTGACCCAATCCCTGATCTCTTGGTCTTTGTAGTAGCTCGCTCAGTTGAGGATTTCTCAGTGTTCCAGAGTCAAAATTAGGATATATTTTGATAACTTGTTGGACTTTTGAATGTAATCTCGAAGAGATATATTAAATTCAAATATGCTTGCTGTTTTGACATGCCATGCACCCCCAAGCATATAGTCTTTTCTCTGAACTTTGGTCTATGTGGCAACTTCACAGATTCAGTGAAGTGCTTTTTTTTGGAGGAGTCAGCAATAATGTTAGAGCTGCCTTCACGTTCTGCGGAGATGGGAGAAGTGCTGATGCTATGCTCAGAGCTTGTGGTGTTTCTATTAGTAGTCAGTTTACCTAAGTAGGTTGGCTCAAGCTACAAGCACCTAAGTTAAAAGTTGGGTATGAGGAAGACTTCATGCCCAGAAACGGAAGATGGAACTTCAACAACAAGACAACGATGTTATTGCGGACGAGGCTCGTAGTGCAATCTCGAAGGTCGTGGAGCTTGTAATTGAACTTCATAGTGTAGCTGAAAGAACTTATAACTAAACTTCGTATTGTAATTGAAAGAACTTGTAATTGAACCTTGTATTATAGTTCGAGTCTTCTAAGTTCAATCTATGTACTTCTAGTTTCTGTACTTTTGATTATATATGAATAAAATTTATATTTATCCACATATTGTTCTCTTGCATAACTGAAGCATTCTAACTTAGGATTTTTAGCAAACCCTCAGCTATCAATGGACTTGAGTTGCCTTTACAACTGCCGTTTGAGTTGGACTAGCCATACTTCTCTCCTCAGTATGATGAGTTATCAAAGAGTTTCTCTTAGATTTCAATGCTAACATTTCTCTTCTATCCTTAGTCTCTTTTAGACTTCAGATCAAATGTATGATAACGAAGTTCAAAATATAACTAAGGATTAAGGACAAAGTTCAACACGTAGCAGACTCATTAGGAAAATGAACGTCATTTGTAAAAATAACGACTTTAGGAATATCAAGTCGTTCAATGACTTAGAAAAATAAAGAAAACAAAAGCACCTCATTTGGTAGGCCTAAGTTAGGAAAACGAATATCATTTGGAAAAAATAACGATGTTAGGAAAATTACATCGTTCAGTGACTTTAGAAGTATGACAATGATGATAGAAAGGAAGGCACATCACTTGGTAGGCCTAAGTTAGGAAAACGAATGTCATTTAGAAAAATAATGATGTTAGGAAAATCACATCATTCAGTGACTTTAGAAGTATGATGATGATGATAGAAACGAAGACACATCACTTGGTAGGCCTAAGTTAAGAAAACGAACGTCATTTGGGAAAATGACGACGTTAGGAAGATCACATCGTTCAATGACTTTAGAAGTATGACGATGATGATAGAAATGAAGGCACATCACTTGGTAGGCCTAAGTTAAGAAAATGAACGTTATTTGGAAAAATGACGACGTTAGAAAGATCACATCATTCAGTGACTTTAGAAGTATGATGATGATGATAGAAATGAAGGCACATCACTTGGTAGGCCTAAGCTAGGAAAACGAATGTCATTTGGGAAAATGACGACGTTAGGAAAAATCAAACAATGAAGTAACACATCACATAATGGGTTACTATTGGAAAGATACTGTTTTGAGCAAAAGCATCAATTGTCAGAGGACATCATTAACATGATAATTTTATAGTCCTATTATCCTATTAAAGAGGATTAATGAGGAAAATTTGGAGGAGACGAGTTAAGAAAACTATTACCTTTATTTGCTTCTCTTCCTGCTGTGAGGTATATCTGATCGTGAAGCCTATGGGTAATATTTCTTCAGAAATTTATCATTGATAGGCATCATGAGTTTGTCGCAATTTTGAGTGATAAGATGCTAAGCTCCATTTGAATAGACGATTTCTACCATAAATGGTCCCTCCCATTTTGACTCGAACTTCCCTTTCTTCTTGGAGTTCAAGATCATTGGGCATTGAACGGCAAGAACCAAGTCACCTTCTTTGAATATGCGGTATCTAACCTTTTTATCAAATGCTCTGGAAATCCGAGCTTGATAAAGTTCAATGTGTTGCTGAGCTAGCAGTCACTTTTCATCAAGCGCTTCTAATTCTTCAAGACGTCGGCGATGACTTTCTTCCATCGTCATACCAGTTGTGAGTGCTATTCGCAGAGACGAAATTTGGATTTCCAATGGTAATACGGTTTTACATCCATATACCAAGGAATATGGTGTCGCTCCTATTAGCGTGCGAACCGTCGTGTGATAAACCTATAAACTTTGACCTAACTTCTCGTTCCAGTCTCTTTTATTTGTCAAAACTACCTTAGTGAGAATTCTGACGATGGTCTTATTGAAAGCCTCTGCTTGACCGTTAGCAGCAGGATTATAAGCTGTTGAAGCTAAATTCTTGATTCTGAATTTATCACAGAATCGGGTGAAGGCTTAGCTAACAAATTAGGGCCCATTGTCATGAATGATATGCCTCGGAATGTCGTACCTGTATACGATGTGATGTTTTAGGAATTTAACAACATCACTCATCTTGACTTCTCTTAATAGTATTGCTTCTACGCATTTGGAGAAGTAATTAGTTATTGCTAAAATAAAGCGATGTCCCTTGGAAGAAGGTGGGGTTATTGGGCCAACAATATCCATCCCCCATGTTTCAAAAGACCATGAAGTGGTTGAAGGATGAAGATGCTCGGATGATCGATGCATGTAATTAGCATGTATCTGGTAGGCGTAACATTGTTTGGCATAGGAGACAAGGTCTTGTACCATATTAGGCTAGTAATAACCCAATCTGCATAGTCGATCCCATAACTTAGGATCGGGCTGATGAGCTCCACAGATGCCATCGTGAGCTTCCTTAAGAGCTTCTTTTGCCTCTCTATTTGACAAACAGCAAAGCAACAGCCCGTCATACGACTTTCAGTATAAAGTTTGAGATTTGAGAATCGTAGTCGAATCTAGGTGCTCGTCTATGAATAGATTCTCTTTCCTTGATATCTTTAGGCAATAAGCCATATAAGACATACTCAATAATCGGAAACCGCCAATCCTTAGGTTCGAGCGTTGTGGGCTCACCTTCAATTGTGTTAATCTAGAATGTATACTTCAATTTGAATAATTGTCTGTTTGTCACTGTGACTTGCTGGGTAGCTCCTTCAGGTAGAGCTAAGGTAGCCGCAAGTGACGCCAATGCATCAACATAGGTATTCTTGAGACGGGGTACGTAGTCGATGTAGAAGCCCTCAAAAGAATCAGCCAATGTGATTGTTGCAATATGGTAAGGAATGATGTCTTCATTCCTAACCTCATATTCTCCCTTCATTTGATTAACAATGAGTTGAGAATTGCCATACGCTTCTAGGTGTTTTACCCCCAGCTGTTTAGCTATATCTAGACCAACCAACAAAGCATTATATTTGGCCACATTATTAGAGCACGACTCTGTTAAAGAAACGATGCGTGAGAGTACATGATTTTGGGAGGAGATAAAGACAACCCCCACTCCGGCTATAACTCGACCGGTAGGACTTGTCCTAGATGCACCGTCGAAGTATTGTTGCCATACCTGCTCTTTAGAAACAACGTTTGCTTCATACGTCTCATCTGGCATGTCTTGGTACTATTCGACTTTTTCTTTCAATAGATGATTGGCCATAAGATCACAAATAGCTTGACCCTTTACTGCCTTTTAAGGTTTGAAGTGAATGTCATATTGGGAAAGTAACAAAGCCCATCTGGCGAGTCGCCAGTTCAATACACTAGGTTGTGTCATGAATACCCGAATAGGATTAATCTGAGAAATGACATGTATGGTTTGTCCAACCAAATAATATCACATCTTCTAAACTTTGAAAACCAGTGCCAAACATTCTTTCTCAATAAGAGGATAACGAGGTTCAGCACCTGATAAAGTCCTACTGAGATAGTAAACCACTTGCTCATGGCCATTTTCATCATCTTGTGCTAAGAGCCCTGCTAATGCATGATCTGTAGCCCTAATGTATATCAGGAAAGACTTGCTTGACTTCGGTGTAACCAATATTGGTGGATTGGAGAGATATTGTTTAATCTCCTCGAACACTTTCTGGCAAGCCTCATCCCACCTGAAGGATACTCTTTTCTTCATTAGTTTTGAGAATGGTTGGTTTTTCCCTGACAAATTAGAAATGAACCTGCGAATATACGCCAATCGCCCTTATAAGCCTCGAAGCTCCTTAAGATTCCTAGGAAGTGGTAGCTCTTGGATAGCTTTGACTTTGTCTGGGTCAAGACGAATTCCGTTAGCTGTGATCACGAACCCGAGAAATTTACCACTAGCCATTCCTAAGAATGACTTAGTTTGATTCATCTTCAGCTGGTGTGCTCGCATAAGGTCAAACATTATTTTCAAGTCATGCAGATGGTTTCCCTTGTCACGACTTTTAACAACCAAGTCATCAACGTAACATTCTACAGTCTTTCATAGATGTTTTTGAAAGATAGAGGTCATAGCACGTTGATAGGTAGCACCCGCATTCTTCAATCCAAAGAGCATTACTGTATAACAGTATATCCCTGAAGGTGTTCGAAAGGATGTGTACTTTTCATCATCAGGATACATTTTGATTTGATTGTATTCTGAGAATCCATCCATAAAAGATATCCTTTCAAACCCGTACGTGTTGTCAATAATGACGTCCGTGATAGGTAAAGGAAAATTGTCTTTAGGACAAGCCGAATTCAGGTCTTGGAAGTTGATACACACTTGAATCTTCCCGTTCTTTTTTAGAACAGGGACATTGTTGGCCACCTAATCATGATGCTGCTCTTTGCAGATAAATCATGACGATGAGCTTTTTAACTTCAGTTTCAATTGCCTCCATGATTTGGGGCCGAAATTGCCTTTGCTATTGTTTAACAGGCTTGACGTCTGGTTTGATGTTTAATCGATGCATAGCCACTTGGGGATCAAGCCCAGACATATCCTCATAGTTTCAAGTGAAGGCATCAATATACTCTCGTATTAGAGTAATGAGATCTTCCTTCTCTTCTGGCGACAAGCTGTCACTTATGAATATGGGTTTTGGATTAATCTCGTCTCCCATATTCACTTGAATCACTTTGTCATTAGTAGGGGGTTCGCGTTGTTCAAAATGGTGTTCCCATTGTATACCCAGCTGTCGACTTAGTGGATCATCAAACAGAAGTAATTGGTCATCTTCTTGATTTTCCATAGGAGATGTTGAAGTCATATTAGCCATGAGTACCTTGAATATAGCTCCTGTGCTGGTGTCGGATTCCCAGCAATTAGATTCAGAAGATGAGGTGTAAGAATCTTCATCTGACTCTCCTTTGGTTCCAAAATGTAGCATAAATGGTGGAGATTCATAACCTAACCCACTATGAGTTTTGTGATAATAATCCTCCGGCTTTCCTTCCGGGACATAAGCAGATCGGATTGGTGTCTGAATCCCTCTACCAAAAATTAAGGCTTCTTTATGGATGAAGTCATATCCCATATTCTTCATAAGCTTTCGGGTTGTTAGAGTGAAGTACGAGAATTACAGATCTCTTTCCTCTTTCTCGGATTCTTCCAAAAGAGTTTGCTTCGGACCATCGCTCTTTCCGAAGATAATGTCTTTTTGGCCGTTAACCTTAGTCGGTACTATGAAAACTGCTTGTGAAAATTCAATTTGCTGTCGATTTGTCACAAAGGATAACTAAATTGGCATGTATAACTTTGATTCAACATATAACTTGGATAGTGGATCCACTACCATGCTAGTGCTTGTACCTGGCACGTTAGGATTCAATTCAACACGGGATAAGTAAGCTAAATCATCATTATTATTAAAGATAACTCCGCTGTCTTCGTAGATAGAATCATTTACATCCAGATTTTTTCAAGACCGATTACGATGGGTTCTATATCATTAAAAACAAGACCCTACTCATGCTCAGACTCGATATCGACTTTATTACCGCTATCTGGTTCTTCGATCAGTGGTACTTCAAATGGCTCACCATCAAGGTAACAGATAGAATCAGTAAAATAATTCTCCACCCCCTTGAATGGTTGCTTCTCTGTGACCACTGTCTTGACCTCACCACTCTCACCTACATATTTTATGCATTAGTGTAGAGTTGATGAAACAATTAGATTGTTATGGATCCATGGTCGACCCAATAACAAATTGTAAGATGTCTCTACATCGATAACATAGCAAGTGACATCCGTCCTCAAGTCACCCATTTGGCATTTGAGTTTGATCTTGCCAAGGGGACGAGTATTAGAGGCATTAAAGCCATATATGGTGGTTCTCGTCGTTGATAGACGATGCAGAAGGACTCCAAGGTGATGAATGAGTCTCAATGGTATGATACTCAAAGCAGAACCAGGGTCAACCTGAATCATGTCTACCCGAATATAGCCGATATACCCTATGAAGTACAACGATCTATCATGTTTCGGGTTTCTCACGTGCATTTCTTCTTGAGAAAAGGTGATGCACGGCATTCTTCTTTGAAAAACTTGACAATATTAAGGGCAAGCTTCTTCCAGCGTTGCTCCAGCTGGATTTGGTGGAAAGTGAATGAGGAAAGCCTCATTATCTTCCATTGCTTCACGAAGAGCTTCTCTCGTCGATTGAGATAAACGCAGAAGCTCAAACAGTGTAATCCTTGCCGAGATGTTGGCTAACTGAGCCAACACATCAAACCAAAAAGAATATTTCGAACTCTCTGGCGCATCTTTCCTGAGTGCTTTGTTGTAACGAAGTTCCTTCGCTTGAGTTTGCTCCGCTACTTCTTTCCCTGGTTTGGGTGGTGCAGCTACTATTTTAGGATATTTCTTCAAATACTCTTTTCCCCCCGTGTGTTCCTTATATCTGTGTAGGTTGTGAAGTGAAGCCTGGCTGCTCATTTTCAGAACTGCTAAGTGACGTAGTTTCAACCCCCCGTCTGGGATAGCTAAAACAGCGTTGTAAGATCTTCACGTGGCTCTAGGCTTCTTTGAGTTTGCCAATGTCCACTGCTCATCCATTAGTAGATCAGGATGAACCTATATCAATTCACCTTTAGGGGTGGTGTAAGGGACCATTCTCTTCCCTTTCTTTTAATGCGGGTCGAAGTTCACTACTCTCACTTCTGCTTGAGGAATCGGTTTTACACCATCTTGTACTTGCACCTCGGTGAAATCTCCAAACTAAAGTGAGACCATATTCGCAGATACCTTCTTTTGCTCAGCTTGAAGGGTCATCATACCTGCATCCAACAAAGTCTGAATTTTATCCTTCAGGATGTAACAAGCTTTGGTTGGATGATGCACCATCCTGTGGTACATGCATAAGTTAGAATCATCAGTCCTTAATACTTCTGCATTCCATTTTATATTTGGCAATGTGATCTTATTCATCTTGATTAAAGATGTAAGAATGGAAACCACATATTCATCCTTGAAATCGTACTTCTTCTGAAAACGATTGTCAGAAGTATTTCCCTTCTGTTTTGCAGAAGACTTTGGGGATGGGGCTATCTCAACAGCTAAGGTGTCTTTCCGTTTCGATTGTTTCTGGGAATTATAATTGCCTTTACCACCTCCTTTTTTAAGTTGGGATTCTTGAGGTTCTTCAGCATTTATCCGCTTGAGCATGTTTTCCACCTGCTCTCCTTACCAAACCAAATCTTTTCATGAACGGGCTTCAATAGCGCCTATTTTGGACAAGATATTAATAGAAAGATTGTTGCGGCACATCTCTACAAGAGTAGCTTCAGAAACTTGATCACGTGAATGCAACGATTGATTTCTGAACCTCTTGACAAAGTCACTGACAGACTTTGTCTTCTTCTGCTTCTCAGCCAATAGTGTGGCCATAGATACTTTAGTGTCCTCATAGAAGAATCGGGCTAAGAAAAGCATCTCCAAATCTCTCCAACTCTGGATTGATCCTGGCTCAAGTCTGTGAAACCACTCAAAAGCCACCCTCTTCAGGGTGCTAATGAATAATCGAGTCATAATAGGGTCATTACCCACTATATGACCAGTCTGCGCTTGAAAGTAATAAATATGTTGGGTAGGAGAACCCTTACCATCAAATTGTACTAAGTTGAGTAGTTTGAATTTTGGAGGATATGAGATCGTATCCCATTCACTTGGATAAGGTCTTGACACCCCCAACTCTTTGAAGTTTCCTTGAAGCTTTAGTGCATCAAGCTTCTTCTGGAAATCATCCTACTTTTGATCCCGTACTTTCGTACGAGGATCAGATTCAGCTTCGGACGATTCAGAATGAATCATCACAACCTTTTCCTCATCATCGTCTTCATCATTGCCATTTTGCTCTTCATTGACGGGTGAAGGTCGTCTTCGCCTAGATCCCGAGGCTTGGGAATGAACCTTCTTCTTCTTCTTTTCTTTCTTCTCACGGAGTCTTTCCACCATTGCTTTTAGCCGTCTAATGGACTCCTGCTGTTAGTGAATGGTTGATTGTTGCTCTTCCAGCTGCCGCGATAGCTCTTCCTCTTTTCCTACCATGTGAGCACTTGCTCGCTCGCTTTGGTCTGTATTAGAAGGTTGAGAAGTGGCAATGATAGAACTTTTAGGTTCTTCATCGACATCATAGGATATACCCG